AGTTTCAAAGGCTCGCTGTCCTAGTCCGTAACTGCAACATAACAGCTCCTGGACTGGATCAAACTCCTCCACAGCAGCCTGGCTCCCTTTCTGCTCCAAAAACAGAGGGAAGAGTCCACAGACTGCTGAGTCTTCCTCCACACATGTGAAGAGACTCCAGATCTCCCCAACAAGAGTCCTTCCTTCCTGTTTTTCCCCAGGGCTCATGGGAATTGTAGTCTGTGAGGGTAGATTGCAGCACACAGGGTCTTCCCAGAAAATAAGCAGAGGCACCTTTAGTAAGGGAGCTACAAGTACAAGACTTTTCAGTCTGTCTTCAAAAAGCAGATTCCCCCGGTTTCATAGCCTGCCTCGTTTCTATCTGCAGTATCCTTTATTGAAGCTAAAACAGGAAGAGAATAAGTTGAAAATTACTAAGACAAGTTAGATGCCTCGAAGGCACCAAAGCATTATGAACTGTATCTTAGAATACTCGCGGAGCTGAATGAGGAGCTATGGAAAGACACAAGTATGGTTGTCCAGTGCCAGTCTGTTGTGGGGTCAGTATGATACAATATGTACATGAATGGTGGAAAAAGGGGTGAACAATGAGGTGGCAAAACTGGCAGATGACGAAAAATTACTCAGCTATTTAACTCCGAAGCCAACTGTGAAGAGTTAGGCTATGTCTACACTGCAGCCTTCTTCCACAAGCAGCTTTTGTTGAAAGAGATCTTCAGCAAAAATTTCTTGTACAAGAGCGCATCCACACTGCGTAAATGCACTTCAAAAAAGTGATGGGCTTTTGCAAAAGAGAGAGTCCAGACTGCATGGACACTCTTTCGCAAAGTATGCACAGAATGGCTACCACGGCACCTGTGCTTTTTCCTCTTTCCTCTTTTTGTGCAAAAAACTCCTCTTCCCTGTCCACACACGGCTTTTTGCAAAATAACTCTTTCACAAAAAGGCTTCTTCCTCGTAGAAAGAGGAATACCAATTGCACAAAAAAACCCCTCTGTTCTTTCAATTCTCTTGCACACAAATGTACTTGAGGGTGAGGGCGCGCTGCTAGTTTATGCAGAAAAACAGCTGTTTTTCTGCAAAAAACTCTGCAGTGTAGACATAGCCTTAGAAAGGAATCTCACAAAATCAGTTGAGTATGCAACAGAAGGGCAGATGGAATTCTGTGTTGATACATGCAAAGTAACACACCTGATAAAATACATCCCTAATTCTACATACAAAACTATAGGGTAGAAATTAACTGTTATGACTGAAAGATGAGATCTTGAATCATTGGGGATAATTCTATTCATATTCATGCCTAATGTGCAAATAAAAAAAATACCTTATGGAATGTGGAGATACATTAGGATAGATAAAAAGACCTAAAGTATAATATTGCCTCTGTATAAAACACTGGAATAAAATCATTGGCAACTAAAATTATGAGGGGTTTGGATTTCAGTTTAGAAAAGAGGAGACTGAGGGGGTATATGATAGAGGTCTATAAAATCATGAGTGGTGTGGAGAGGGCTGATAAAGAAAAGTTATTTATTAGTTCCCATAATAGAAGAACTAGAGGACACCAAATGAAATTAATGGGTAGCAGGTTTAAAACTAATAAAAGAAAGTTCTTCTTCACACAGCGTGTAGTCAACCTGTGGAACTCCTTGCCAGAGGAGGCTGTGAAGGCTAGGACTATAACAGAGTTTAAAGAGAAGCTGGATAAATACATGGAGGTTAGGTCCATAAAAGGCTATTAGCCAGGAGATAAAATGGTGTCCTTGGCCTCTGTTTGTCAGAGGCTGGAGAGGGATGGCAGGAGACAAATTGCTTGATCATTGTCTTCGGTCCACCCTCTCTGGGGCACCTGGTACTGCCCACTGTCAGCAGACAGGCTACTGGGCTAGATGGACCTTTGGTCTGACCCAGTACGGCCGTTCTTATGTTCTTATGAATAGCCACATCATGGATACCACAGCCACATTTGGCACCCCCTCTCAACAAAGTCATACAGGATTTTCGACAAGGGACAGAGAAGTGCAACAGAAATAATTAGGGGGTATGGACCACCCCACTTCTGAGGAGAGATTTCAAAGGCTGGGACTTCTCACCTTGGAAATGAGACTGAGAGGGAAAAGAAAAAAGGCTCTAAATAATGACTAGCGTGGAAAAAATGAATAAAGAAATGCTATTTCCCCTTTCCCATTACAGAAGAACTAGAGGTCACCTAATGAAATGAATAGGGAGCAGATCAAAACAAACAAAATAAAATACTTTTTTGCAGTGAATCTGTGGAAGTCATTGTGAAGGCCAAAACTATAGCATGATTCCTGTGCAAGCCACAGACATCTAGGCTACGTCTACACTGGCCCCTTTTCCGAAAGGGGCATGCTAATTTTCAATTTCAGAATAGGGGATTTAAATATCCCCCACGGGATTTAAATAAAGATGTCCGCCGCTTTTTTCCGGCTTGGGGAAAAGCCGGAAAAAAGCATCTAGACTGGCCCAATCCTCCGGAATAAAGCCCTATTCCGGAGGATCTCTTATTCCTACTTTGAAGTAGGATTTCCCTATTCTGAAATTGAAAATTAGCATGCCCCTTTCGGAAAAGGGGCCAGTGTAGACGTAGCCCTAGGGAGTATTGGTTCATCAGTGCCTATTAGCCAGTTTTACCAGGGTTCAAATACCTTTTTCTGTACTTCCCTCATCTCTGTTTTCCAGAGGCTGGGACTGGACATTAGGGCATGTCTAAACTACATGGCTCTGTCGACGGAGCCATGTAGATTAGTTTACTCGGAAAAGGGAAACGAAGCCGTGATTTACATCAAAATGGCCACCGCGATGTGTCGATCAGCTGATTGTCGGCACAGCGTGGCAGTCTAGACGGGGATCTGCCGACCCTAGAACCCTTTATCGGCAGATCCTGTAAGCCCCATTTCATGAAGGGTCTGGAGATCCCCATCTAGATTGCCACGTTGTGCCGACAATCAGCTGATCGACACATCGCGGTGGCCATTTTGATTTAAGTGAAGTGGCAATTATTTAAATAGCCGCTTAATTTCCCTCTGCCATCCTGCCTACTCTCCATGGCTCCGTCGATGGAGCCATGTCATTTAGACACACACTAGGGAACAGGTCACTCAGAGAGTGTGTCTACACTTTACCGCAACTCAAAATAAGAAAAGCAATTTGACCTATGCCAATTGCGTATCTCCTTTCAATGCTATTTTGAAATAGTTTATTTTCTTATTTGGTGCTGTTCCTTCCATCTAAAGCACCTGGGATAATATTTCCATTAGAGCTTAATATATTTATTGTAATTTTAATATTCTTTCAATGATATGGGATTGAGATATGCAGATCCTTTCAGCTAATTATTAAGTTAAAGCATTTAAGAGTTTAAATAGCTACTGAAATCATGTTTAATGTGACCCTCCCTCACCACACAAGAATCTGAAGTTCAATCCCTTTCGTTATGAATGGGGGACGTGGTGACGTTTCAGCAAGTATTCTGGGAGGAGGAGAAGAGTGAGGAAAAAGGGCAGTGATCTGGGGGAAGATTCACAGCAAAGTTGGGCCTAGGTGGAAGAGGTGAAGCCAGCAAGTTCTGCTTACAGGCAATTAGAAAGGTAGCATCGCAATGGGTGTGGCTACACTGCACCCTAAACACAAAATAAGAAACACAATTTGTGTTATGCAATTTGCATATCTTATTTTGATTCTACGTTGAAAGAGCTTATTTTGAAATTTGGTGTGTGGAAAGAGGGTGACAAGGATACTGAAATAGCGTGCCCGTGATTTAAAAAAATATTTCAAAATAACATGCGGCTTGTTAAGATGCCACACAGTGTAGATGTACCCTGAGAGTTAAGAGTTGTATGCAGATCACATAATACAGGTTGTCTATAGCACGTTAAGCCCATGAACAACTTTCACATCTATCTGAGTGTCCAGTCAGTGAATCACGAATGAGGGCCCAGCATCATGTCACCAGCCAGGTTTGTATGGAGCTTAGTCTGTGTGTCCGCGCACCAGGAGAAAAATTTACGTCCCTTTGTGATGTAACAGTTGGAGCAGCCTGTCCCGGATCTGTTTGGTCCTCACCCCATAGATGATGGGGTTCAGCGTGGGGGGCACCAGGAGGTACACGTTGGCAAGGAGAATGCGGAAATGCTGGGCCACGTTCTGGCCAAACCGTTGTGTGAGGAAGGAGAAGAGAACTGGGATGTAAAAGGTTAAGATGGCAAACAGGTGGGAGCCGCAGGTCCCAAAAGTCTTAAGTTGGGCGTCCTTTGTGGGGAGTCTGAAGATGGCCCTGAGGATCTGGACATAGGACACAGATATAAAAAACAAATCTACCCCGGTCACAAAGAAAGCCACAAAGAGGCCATAGTAACTACTGATACGGATGTCACCACAGGCCAACTTCACCACGACAATGTACTCGCAGTGTGTGTGGGGGATGATATTGGTTATGCAATAGGGCCACCTTTTTGCTAGGAAGATAGAGGGAAATATGAGCATGATGCCACGTAGCAACACCACCAGGCCAATCTTGGCCACCGCTGGGCTTGTCAGGATGGCGGAATGTCTCAGGGGATGGCAGATGGCCACATAGCGATCCAACGCCATGGCCACGAAGATCCCCGACTCGATTGCCAAGAAGCAGTGAATGAAGAACATCTGAGTGAAGCAGGCATTGAAACCGATCTCCTTAGAACTGTACCAGAAGATGCTCAGTGTTTTGGGCAGGGTGGAGGTAGACAGGACCAGGTCAGTGATGGCCAGCATGCAGAGGAAATAGTACATGGGCTCATGGAGGCTTGGCTCCCGCTTGACAATGAACAGGATGGTGAAATTCCCCAACACGGATATGGCGTAGGTGCTACAGAAGGGGATGGAGATCCAGGCATAGGCTGTCTCCAGGCCAGGTATGCCCAGCAGGATGAAGGTGGAGGGGTCAGTGAAATCAGTTGTGTTGGAACCAGACATGGAGAAGAGGATGGGCATTCAATTTAGAGGCAGAACCAAGTTCCCTGCATGCACTGTATGTTTTCCTGGCTTCTTGTAATCGTGAAGTCTCTAAGGTGATAGTCACAGTGCAGATACCTGGATGGAGAAACAATGTTAAGGTAAGGAAGCTGGATATGAAGACACACTGAAAAGTCTGGGACTGGTTGTGGTGAACAGACAGGGAAGGGGGCATCAGATAGAGCAGAACAAAATGAAAGAGTGGAACTAATTACATTCCAATTAACTGCAAACACTTCCCAACCAGTAATATCTGTAGACAATAAATGCTTCAAAGGAGCTAGTTCTTCACTTCTGAGTTACATTGACAGCAAGATTGATTAGAACCATTTAGTCAGAGATGCTTAATGACTTCCTTGTTTCTATTTTCCCCAGGAAGGTTGGTGCTGTTTGGTTGTCCAGTGTAGTAATTGCTGGAGAAAATGAGGTAGTTTCAAACATTCAAATAGAAAAGGATGAGTTACAGTTGTGTAGACTATGTAGATGCCTTCAAGTCCCCAGGGCCTGATCAAACACATCCTAGTATACTCCTAGAGCTAACGGAGGAGGTACATTAAAAGTCATGAAAGACATGAGATTTTCCAAAAGACTGAAAAAATATCATGCCCATCTATTAAAAGGGAAATAAAGACAACCAAAGAATCCACAAACCAGTTAGCTTAGATTCTGTGTGAGGAAAAATAATGGAGCAAATAATGAAGGAACCCAATTGCAAACCTCTGGAAGATAATAAGGCAATAAGTAAAGTCAACATGGCTTTGTAAAAAACAAATCATGTCAAACAAAAGAAAATCTTTAAAATTAATGAGCAGTCCTGAGGGACCTCAAAGAATACGACTTAATATAATTGTTAGCCTCAAGGGTGCCGGAGGACTGCTTGTTGTTTTTAAAGATGCAGATGAACACAGAAAGCCCTCGGAAAAGAAACCCTTGAGTAGATTTTGGACATTTCCTAGAGAGACACGCACTAGTATCAGGGAAGCTCTTGTAAAATGGACTAAAACCTGGATAATTCATGGACTACGGAGAGCAGTCACCAACGGGCCATGGTCAGTGAATGGGGCTGTATCCTGCAGGGATCAGTGTAGGCCGGATGTTTGTCTCTATGTCATGATAGCGGCTTTCAAATATCTAAAAGGGTGTCACAAGGAGGAAGGAGAAAATTTGTTCCTCTTGGTTTCTGAGGACAGGACAAGGAGTAATGGGCTTAAAGTGCAGCAGGGGAGGTTTAGATTGGACATTAGGAAAAAATTCCTAACTGTCAGGGTGGTCAAATATTGGAATAAATTGCCAAGGGAGGTGGTGGAATCTCCCTCTCTGGAGATATTTAAGAACAGGTTAGATAGACATCTGTCAGGGATGGTGTAGACGGAGCTTGATCCTGCCTTGAGGGCGGGGGGCTGGACTCGATGACCTCTCGAGGTCCCTTCCAGTCCTATGATTCTATGATTCTATGTCGATGAATGATGTGGCAGCAAAGGTAAAATGGCTGCCGATGAAATCTGGTTACGCTACACAGATGGGCAGAGGGGTTAGAATTAGCCGGCCGGAGTAGGTGCACGAAAGCTTCTAGAGTGTTATAACAGAGCCCAGGACTGGTTCAAGCCATTCCTGCGCCCTGGGCAATGGATGCACGGCGCATGCGCTGCTTACAGCTGTAATCGGGTGCACGATGCCTGATTGCAGCTTTAAGGGGTGTCGCACAGCCAGGCACACGGTGCCCCTTACAGCTGCAATCAGGCACCCCCCATAGATTGGAAGCATGGACATCTGCCCGGCTAGCTGCCCTCCCCCTTAGTCCAACCCTGACAGAGCCACACAAAACATTGTCCCCTAAGAGCAGGGAGTGCAGACCTGATGCACAGACTGAGGCACACGGTCTATAACCCAGGGCGATACTCCCCAGAAAGGGATTTAAGTGTCTGTTGGGGGCAACCAAAGGGATTTAGGTGTCGTTGGGGGCAACCAAAGGGATTTCGGTGTCGTTGGGGGCAACCAAAGGGATTTCGGTGTCGTTGGGGGCAACCAAACCATCATGCACATAAACTGGGGATGGAGAGTTGGAGCAGAGGAAGGGTTTTATCTCTGCCCCCGGCATTGGTGAATCCATCCCCATCGAGGCCGGGCGGGAGGCACATTTCTAAAACGACGTGGAAAAACTGGAGAGGGGGCAGCAAAGAGACAAAGAAAGTGTCTGACAGAGAGAGACACAGACAGTGGTACCCACTTACCTAATAAGTTTATCTGACAGTAAAAGGCTGAACATATTACCTAGGATCCTCTCTCCCTGTTTAATGGCTGCCCAGAGTAGAAAGCATCTCAGACATACTCGCAACCCTACCCTGCCCGACACTGTACCACCCTTCCCAAATTGCACTGAGTCTGCCCAGCAGGTGCGTCTTCAGCAAGAAACAGGTGTGTGGGAATTTGGAGATGCGAGTGGGTTCCCTAGGAAGCCCCCTCAGGTCACCCTGCCCCACACATCACTCACCCCAGCATCGCCTGAAACGTTCTTTGCTGACAGGTAACCCAGGGCTGTGCCCCATTTATAAGATAGCTCTGTGCAGCCCCAATGGGGTTCGCTCACACTGTAGCGGTGAAGCGAGAGTATCAGTGTAAACAGACTGGAGACCAGCCTTGGGAGTCAATTCTAATTAAGGGCCTTTCCCCCAAAGGGCAAGGAGAACTCTTGGGCGGGGACGAATTGGCCACTCTGTGTATATGACTAGGAAGAAAATTGTGGCATGATGCTAAGTTAAAGAGTTTGAGTGTCTAAATAGATACAAAAATCATGATTAATGTGACCCTCCCTCCCCACGTAATAATCTGAAGTTCAGTCCCTTCCGCTAGGTATGGGGGAGGTAGCGATGGTCCAGCAAGTAGTGGGGAAAGAGAAGAGTGAACGAAAAGGGCAGTGATTTGGGGGAAGAGACCCAGTGGGGCTGGTTCTAAGTGGAAGAGGTGAGGCATCCAAGTTTTACTGAATAGCAATTAGAAACATGGCATCACAAGGGGTGAGTCTCCACTGCACCCTAAACTCAAAATAAGATATTCAATTTGCTTATTTTGAAATTTGGGTAAAGCAGGCATTGAAATCGATCTCCTTTGAATTGAACCAGAAGATGCTCAGTGTTTTGGGCAGGGTGGATGTGGACAGGACCAGGTCGGTGGTGGCCAGCATGCAGAGGAAATAGTACATGGGCCCATGGAGGCTCAGCTCCCGCTTGACCATGAACAGAATGGTGAAAATCCCCAACATAGATATGGCGTAGGTGCTGCAGAGGGGGATGGAGATCCAGGCATAGGCTGTCTCCAGGCCAGGGATGCCCAGCAGGATGAAGGTGGAGGGGTTGGTGAAGTTGGTTTCAGACATGAAGTAGGGGACGTGGCATTTAATTCAGAGGCAGAACCTATTCCCCTGCATGCAGTGTATGTTCCCCTGGCTTTTGTAATCATGCAGTCTCTAAGGTGATGGTCACAGTGCAGATGCCTGGATGGAGAGACAATGTTAAGATGAGGAGGTTGGATATGAAGACACACTGAAAAGTCTGGGACTGGTTTTAGTGAACAGACAGAGAAGGTGGCATCAGACGGAACAGAAGAAAATGCTAGATTGAAACTGATTACATTCCAATGTACTGTGAATACTTCCCAACCAATAATATCCACACACAATAAATGCTTCAAAGGAGCTATTTCTTCACAGTCTTGGCAAATTCACAGCAAGACTGATGAGGTTGAACAATTCAGTCAGGGAAATGAGAATAAGAATCGGGAATCTTTTGAGAAGTGTTTATTAGCTAGCTGATATCATCCAAAGCACAGGACTTGATGGGAATGGGGGACTGAACTCTCCAGACATCTGTTGGGATAGTAACACAGCAGGGCACAGAGAATTCCTCAAGGTCTTGGACTGTATTGGAGACATCCCTCCAGGAAAGGGGAACAGAGAATTCTCCTTTGCTGTGGATGGAGATCAAAGGGAAAGTCCAAGGGAGCAGGATCTTTTGCGTGGGCATAACCCTGCATTGGGCAGCAGCTCCAGAGTGGACTAGCCATCACCTCTTCTTACATCCTTACCTCACCAATACCCCCTGAAGATGACCAATGGAAATCCCCTTCTGAGGGAACCACCAGGGAGAAGGAAACCTGGTAACTAGACACATATGAAAGTCCAGAGAAGAGTTGAAAGGTACAATGGTCACTGAACAAACCCAACAGTCCACACAGAAAGTTGGATAAAGTCGAAATATTTGGAAACACCTACAGTCTCGAAAGATAGATTAAGAGTTGGGTGAAACACTGGAATAAGTTGCCTAGGGAGGTTGTGGAATCTCCATCTCTGGAGATATGTAAGAGTAGGTTAGATAAATGTCTATCAGGGATGGTCTAGACAGTGCTTGGTCCTGCCATGAGGGCAGGGGACTGGACTCGATGACCTCTCAAGGTCCCTTCCAGTCCTAGTATGCTATGATTCTATATTTTCCCCAGACCACGCCAGGTATTTCTGCTAGTAGTGACTATAATATGATTAAATTTAATGTCCCAACATGATAGCATGTTCTCCGAGAATTGCCTTCTGCCTCCTGAGATCCCAGAGGCTCTGGCTCCCTTGAGCCCCCCGTGTCCTCCTGCCCCAGGGGCCCCTGATAAACCTGGGGGTGGAAACCATGGGGCAGGTGGAGGAGGGACCGAGGGTGTCATTGGGGTTCACAAGATACTGGGATGCAGGACGACATGCACTCCATAACAGTGGTCAGAGAGGCAAATAAGGTCCAATGCTGTCTCGCAAACTGCTCCCTGGCGGCTCTCCTTTCCTGATGCTCCATGATCCAGCCCTGCCGCTCTGCCTGGATCTCCACCGTGAGGGTGTGCATGAAGTCCATTTGCTCCTAGAACATCTCCTCCCATGTGCATGGGTGCCTGTGGATTGGAGACAGGTGGGTAGATGCTGGAAGGGCTGGAGGACGCACCAAGCTGGCTGCTGTCCCAGCTGCAAAGAAAAATTACAAGCGCAGATTTTACAGCACATAAATTGTGTTAGCCCTAACCCTAACCTGTTAGCAATACAGTGATTT